CTATGCAATCTGAACTGGATGAATTTGAACGAAACAAGGTTTGGAGATTAGTTTCTAAACCTTCTGATGTTTCAATTGTTGTATTAAAATGGATTTTTAAAAACAAAACCGACAAAGATGGCAATATTATTCGAAATAAAGCAAGACTAGTGGTTAAAGGATATTCACAACAAGAAGGCATTGATTATGAAGAAACATTTGCACCTGTTGCAAGACTTGAAGCAGTTCGCATATTCTTAGCTTATGCAGCTCACAAAGATTTTGATGTTTATCAAATGGATGTTAAATGTGCATTCTTAAATGGCAAACTCAAAGAAACAGTGTATGTTGAACAACCACCAGGTTTTGTAAACACTGAACATCCTGATCATGTTTATATTTTAGATAAAGCTGTATATGGGTTAAAACAAGCACCAAGGGCCTGGTACGCAACACTTACAAATTTCTTGAAACAATCTAAATTTAAACAAGGATCAGTCGACCCCACGTTATTTCGCAAGAAAGTTGGGTGTCATCTAATGCTTGTTCAAATTTATGTTGATGATATTATCTTTGGTTCAACTGATCCAGCATTGTCACTTGAATTTGAAAATTTAATGAAAAGTCAGTTTGAAATGAGCATGATGGGAAAAATTAATAATTTTCTTGGTTTAAACATAAAACTAACAGGCAAGGAATTTTCATTAATCAAGAAAAATATACAAAGAACTTTCTTGAAAAGTTTGGAATGCTTAATAGCACGAAGCTCAGAGTCCCTATGGCAGTAGGAACACGACTAACTCCTTCGTTAGACACTCCTGCTGTTGATTTAACAGTGTATCGTAGCATGATAGGGTCTTTATTGTACTTAACTGCGAGTAGACCTGATATTATGTTTTCGGTTTGTTGTTGTGCTAGATATCAAGCAAATCCAAGAGAACCACATTTGATGGCAGTGAAAAATATCTTTCGATATTTAAAGGGAACTGTTTCTTTAGGCCTTTGGTATCCTGCGAAAATAGGATTTTTCATTCAAGCTTTTTCAGATTCTGATTTAGGAGGATGTACCTTAGATCGAAAAAGTACGACTGGTGGATGTCAATTATTGGATGGAAAGTTGGTTAGCTGGAAATCAAAGAAACAAACTTGTGTGGCTATCTCAACTGCTGAGGCAGAATACATCTCTGCGGCTGCTTGCACTTCGCAAATCATATGGATTCAGAGTCAACTTCGTGATTATGCAATCAACATGAAAAAGATTCCTTTGTATTGTGATTCACAAAGTGCGATTCGCATTTGTCATAATCCAGTGCAACATTCAAAGACAAAACACATTGCTCTTCGATATCATTTTATCAAAGATCATGTGGAAGATGGGAATATTGAAATTCATTTTGTCAAAACAACTGAACAACTTGCTGATATTTTTACAAAACCTCTTGATGAAAAATCATTTGTTAGAATTTTAGCAGGTTTGGGGATGCTTAATGCGAATTCAATTTCAT